CATCACCTCCTCGTCTCACTCCAATCTGAGAAACGCTGGCTGGCCAGTTGACCCCCCCCCCAACAAAACCTCTACGGATCTACACGATTCACGTGGATGATATATTTTGATTCAAAACGGCGAATTTCGCCGAAAAGCGACAAGTTTGCAGGTATGAATAAAGTTCTTGAAATAAAAAAAATTCTGCATTTCCCCCTGCGCCACACCTGCAATACCACCGCGCCCCACAGTTTGAGAACCACTGCTTTAACGGAAGGGTACCAACAATTTTGTCCACGTGTGTATATCTATATCTATACAGATATATCTATCATTTTTTTCTCTTTCTCTCCATGTTTCATACAAAAATGATATTGTTTGAGCATAATTCTAGAAAATGAAATCCACAATGATAAACATATTACAAGGTAAATGATGCAATCATTATTTGAAATGTAATGCTCTTTTAGGTATATGGTGTAATGTAGACTTTAGAGGCACAGTAACAGTAAATACAATATACACATGCTAACTTCTTTAGTCTCAACAACATGTAGAGTCAAAGTTTGAGGAGCCCACATGCTTTTGACTTTCTCAGCTAACTTAACTTGCTACGGCTGAAAAGAGAAAATCTCTATGACCAAGTAGTTCATCAGCTAATGCTGATGAACCACTGGGGTCATAAAGATTTTGAAGTGATAGAAGTGATGTTTTGTTTATACCTCTCAGATAGAGCTAAAGGCGTTTATGCTCAATGCACATTTCATCGCTTTATTCTCCAAAAGTGTGAAGAATCAAAAAGATAATGAGTGTAACAGGAAAATCGCCATAAAGCAACCTCCACAATGCAGAGGAGGGATTGTAATAACTGTAAACTTATATCTCATATTCATGGACTACTTCATAGCCTTAGTACAAGCCCTGTAAAAAAACAAGTCATATATTAAATGCATTAAAAAGAAATGAAGGTTGAATATTCTGTAAACAGTTTGATTTTCTCCCCGTTTTTTTGGGGGGAGTCTTTCCCGTTCCGATGTGAGGGTTCCGGGAAAAGAGGATGTCGCACGTGTACAGATTGTAAAGCCCTGAGGCTAATTTGTAATTTGTAATTTTGGGCGATACAAAAATAAATTGAATTGAATTGAGCTGCAAAATATTTAGTCAAACGGAGATTTGTAAAGCATCTAAAAACTAATTTATAGTACTTTTATCAGTGAACTATTTGGAACAGTCACGTCTGTAAAGCTCTAAGCAAGCACCAAGTTACAAAAAATGTGGAGGTGCACGAGCGAGCGCCGCGGCACACAGGCAATGGTTACGTCATGTTCTGGCGCCGGCTTCACCACGTCGACCTTAAACTAAGCTGAAGCCCGAGGCAGCTCTCACCTGATGTCGAGTCGTTTCACTGAGCTCGGTGAGGGTCCTGAAAACAGCTCCGCCAGCACACACACGTTCTTGGCTGTTGACACAGACAGTTACCATATATTAAGTAAATATTTAATTTGCCTTCACGATTTAGAGATGCACCAATAGCACATGTATGGGTCACCTGTCTGTTGAGACTGAAAACTAAAAATATGAATTGATCTTTTGGAACGGGCAACAAGCTGTGAACACAACACAAACCTATTATAACCATTCAAGTTCAAAGCGCACAAAATGTACACATAACATTCAGAAACCGTTTAACTGATGTAAGTAATCAGCTGTGGAAGTTTCATGGTGATATCTATTAGTTATAATGAGAATGAAAACTGTATTCACCTGTTGTGTCTCCACTGAAGAGAAAAGAAAACTTTAGCTGAACTCTCTCCACTCTCAATCACTACACAGCTGTGTTTAGAAGTCTCAAGGATTTCATGTGAATAGAGGATCATCATTGTAACGATGTCATGTCACAATATTGTCTATAATAGAAACGGCAGCTGACCTGGTTACTCCACTGAATGTTAGTTTCTCAACATCTGCACTCTGGATGAAAAGTTATGAATAGGATTCAAAGAGTTTATTACGAAGGCTCCTTTTCTGATTCGACTCATTTGTTCTGATGCAACTGTTTGCCGTGGGGGGGCCTTGGGCCTCTTCTCAGATTTTACAACTGACAACCTTCTATTTACCTCAATCGGACCCACAGTTCATTCACTTTAACGGACTCCTTGTGGAAGCTAATGGGGATCCTTTTCAAAAATATGACATGTTTTGATAACAAATGGCTTCAGCTGAACTTCAGAGTGCAGAACTACAGAGTGCACAGAATGAGGACTGTGGATTTAGACCACCATCTTTAACTAACAGTTAAAGTTTGACTAACAGTTTTATTAAGATATCCCTGAAAAAATTCCATATAAATTCCATAATCTACAGGATAAGGATCTTGACATAATTCAACCTTTTTCATCTGATGATCATCAATTACCAGCTCAGGACCATAATCAATGATAAACATAAGAAATAGGTTTGCTATCACCATCTCAATACAAAGAGCCTACATTCTATTTTGTACACAGCTTTAGAAAAAGGTACTCAAAAGGCACTTTCATGGCAAGTTACTGTCCTTTCATGGACAGTAACAGCAGCAGTAAAAGCATGTCAGTATTGGCACTGATGATCCCTGAGTTGAATCCCATCAGTGGAGAGACGTGAAGGACTTACTCAGCCGGTTCTGAGCCAAGCTGAGTGTGTGGAGGGAGGGCACCGCCTTCAGAGTGGCCACCAGCCGCTGCAAACTCTCCTCCTTGTTGCTCCAGCACTCAACGAGGCGGCAGTCATTAAACCGCAGCTCTGACAGTGGGAGAGGAAAATGGCAGATGGTTAAACATCGAGATGCTGAGACCATGGCTGCCATGCGTTTTACTACATTTTTTCTCTTGATTTGTTGTCTTTTTGTCATTGCTAGAGCACTTCTGGCATATGAGAGAAGAATCTGGGGAGCGACTGTGGCTAAGTGGGAAGCAGGGCCTTCAATCAGAGGATCGGCGGTTCGATCCCTGGCTCCGCCTCCGCTAGTTGCATGTCGATGTGTCCTTGAGCAAGACACTTAACTCCAAAATTGCTCCTGTAGCTGTGCCTACGGTGTAGATAGAATCTGAATTGTAAGTTGCTTTGGATAAAAGCGTCTGCTAAATGACTGTAATGTAATGTAACTCATCAACAACAGGGAAGGATGCGTAGGAATTGGATTCATTTGTGTGGAGCGGACCTTAAGATCACCGCCGAAGCTGCCAAACCAAACACCACTGACCGCCCTATGGAGGAGAGGGAGGATGGAAGCTGAGCTAACCCAGCTGGGACCTAAGGCCTTAGGTCCTGCAGCCAGTCTGGTCCTGGCTAATGTCTAGTCGGAGGAAGGTTCAGGCTAACCAGCTACGTGAGACCTGGCTTCGTGGTGGCGTCCCGGATCAAGCTGTACTTGACGGCTGGGCCGCACGACAGCGCGCAGGACTTAGCATTAGCCAAACTTCTGCATAACACAGCTTTAGAAAGAGAACTTAACATTAACATCTTATTTTTAACCTTGGGCTCCAGGTCATATCATGAACTGAAGTAGATATGTAAAGCCTCTGCTAAAACTGTATTCACTTATGAACAGGTTTAAAGCCCCTATGTGTAGGATTCAGACATTATGGACTGTGTCACCAAAGAAAGGTATTCTAAGGGAGCCACGCCATGCGGTGAACAGCCAAGAGTCAGTCAAGCTGTGTTGGCAGAGTACAAGTGTTTCTCCACCGCACAGCCAGTGGTGGAAAGTAACGAAGTACATTTACTTTAGTACATTTTATGATACTTCTTACCTCTACTACATCTCAGTGGATCGTATCGTGCTTTTCAAAAGTGTCTGACAGCTTTCGTTACTTTGCAGATTCTGACGATGAAAACTAAATATAATCAACTAATAAATGTTGATGTATTATTATAGATTTAACCACCCAGCAGTATATAAAGTAACTAATGTGAGCTCCATCTTCACCAGCTGCAACATTAAAGTGATGAATACTTTAATGCATTAAGAGTTATAATCCAATATACTATTCTGCATAATGAGTACTGTTGGTACTTTAAGTATATTTTAAGAACACTTTTGTACTTTTTTGTAGCCGTTACTATAAAATTGAATATTATATCATGTGTCAGACCTGTTTTCATTGACGATCAGCACCACCTGCAAAGCTCCGCTAAATCAATGATAAACACATCGCATTTTCTACAACTCCTTCACATTAAAAGCCTCTCAATGCTTTGAAAGGGCTTAAATTGATCCGTAAAAAGTAAAGTAAGGCTGATGTGTGGCAGTACAAACTGGAGCACAGGAGTGAAGCTAAACTCCAATCCAGAAATTCAGTTAGAAGCTTAAAAACAGGACATCACGGCTCGACTTAGACCAGCTAAAGCTGACTTGACTTCCCATATATCTGATGTTCTCCTGCAGTCACGAGTCGTTCTCCTTTTCTTACCTTCCAACTTGCAGTCTCTCAGTAGATTTAGGATCTCGGGGAGACAATCGGACAGCTTAAGGTCCTCCAAGTTGAGACTCCTCAAGAGGGGATTTGACTCTAAAAGTTTAGAGATTAAATTTGGTTAAGAGTTAGACAGATAAATGGACCAGGCTGATATTAGGGCAGGGCAGGCATTATATTAGCTTATTGTACAGATATTTGTACCTGTGTTTCTGCCGACTGATTAGTAACAAGAAACTGCAGCACAGAAAAGCTTAGTAGAGACAACTGACAAGTTAAACTGCAAAAGCCCCGCTATCTTAGTCACAAAAACTAAATCTGTACCAAGATGGATTTGGTTATGCATTTGTGTTGAACAAAACACATTTCAAATCGGGGGATATATGGTTTGAAGATGATCAGTAACGGCCTAGAATTTTGTTCACATGTATCTCAACGGTTCAATAGTTCTTAAAGGGTAATGCTGGTGTTACTCTATATTTCTTATAAGCAACAAATCCAGTAAAAAAAAAAAAAAAAACAGTAGTGTGATAGTGTATCTCAATACCTTCTGATAAATGTATATACAGTGGGTACGGAAAGTATTCAGACCCTTTAAATTTTTCACTCTGTTTCATTGCAGCCATTTGCTAAAATCAAAAACATTCATTTTATTTCTCATTAATGTACACTCGGCACCCCATCTTGACAGAAAAAAACAAAAATGTAGAAATTTTTGCAAATTTATTAAAAAAGAAAAACTGAAATATTCAGACCCTTTGCTATGACACTCATATTTAACTCACATGCTGTCCATTTCTTCTGATCTTCCTTGAGATGGTTCTACTCCTTCATTGGAGTCCAGCTTAAACTGATTGGACTTGATTAGGAAAGGCACACACCTGTCTATATAAGACCTTACAGCTCACAGTGCATGTCAGAGCAAATGAGAATCATGAGGTCGAAGGAACTGCCCAAGGAGCTCAGAGACAGAATTGTGGCAAGGCACAGATCTGGCCAAGGTTACAAAATAATTTCTGCAGCACTCAAGGTTCCTAAGAGCACAGTGGCCTCCATAATCCTTAAATGGAAGAAGTTTGGGACGACCAGAACTCTTCCTAGACCTGGCCGTCCAGCCAAACTGAGCAAACTTTGGAAGAGCCTTGGTGAGAGAGGTAAAGAAGAACCCAAAGATCACTGTGGCTGAGCTCCAGAGATGCAGTAGGGAGATGGGAGAAAGTTCCACAAAGTCAACTATCACTGCAGCCCTCCACCAGTCGGGGCTTTATGGCAGAGTGGCCCGACGGAAGCCTCTCCTCAGTGCAAGACATATGAAAGCCCGCATAGAGTTTGCCAAAAAACACATGAAGGACTCCCAGACTATGAGAAATAAGATTCTCTGGTCTGATGAGAGCAAGATTGAACTTTTTGGCGTTAATTCTAAGCGGTATGTGTGGAGAAAACCAGGCACTGCTCATCACCTGCCCAATACAATCCCAACAGTGAAACATGGTGGTGGCAGCATCATGCTATGTGGGTGTTTTTCAGCTGCAGGGACAGGACGACTGGTTGCAATTGAAGGAAAGATGAATGCGGTACAGAGATATCCTGGAAGAAAACCTCTTCCAGAGTGCTCTGGACCTCAAACTGGGCCGAAGGTTCACCTTCCAACAAGACAATGACCCTAAGCACACAGCTAAAATAACAAAGGAGTGGCTTCGGAACAACTCTGTGACCATTCTTGACCATTCCCAGCCAGAGCCCTGACCTAAACCCAATTGAGCATCTCTGGAGAGACCTGAAAATGGCTGTCCACCAACGTTCACCATCCAACCTGACAGAACTGGAGAGGATCTGCAAGGAAGAATGGCAGAGGATCCCCAAATCCAGGTGTGAAAAACTTGTTGCATCATTCCCAAGAAGACTCATGGCTGTACTAGCTCAAAAGAGTGCTTCTACTCAATACTGAGCAAAGGGTCTGAATACTTATGACCATGTGATATTTCAGTTTTTCTTTTTTAATAAATTTGCAAAAATTTCTACATTTCTGTTTTTTTCTGTCAAGATGGGGTGCTGAGTGTACATTAATGAGAAATATAATGAACTTTTTTGATTTTAGCAAATGGCTGCAATGAAACAGAGTGAAAAATTTAAAGGGGTCTGAATACTTTCCATACCCACTGTATACACAAACTTTACTCAAACAGGAGAACTGTTGGGGACTATTTTCAGCAGTGGCTTCATCCACATTTGGTGGTTGTTTGGTTTGTGGCAGCAGGTCGGTGTATGAGTTAAAAAGAAACTAGTATGTGTTGATGGTAATAAAGGAACATGTCCCCCTGAGTGATAGATGTGTTTTTAATAGTTTATGCACATCAATGGAGCTCTGTGGCAGAGGAAGAAGCTACATCAGGTTCTGATACACACAAACACACAAGATTTGAAAAATATAGAATATCACCAGACTTATGCTGTCAAGATGTCAATTCTAAACATTTGATATACCCACTGGGAATCCTCTGTACATATGGGTGGAAATCTCACCGATGCCCCGGTGCTTTGTGTACACGGTTAATTTTTTTAGAAGGCCTGTAAACTCGCCCTGTGGTGAACCTCGTACAGTGACATCGCACACATACCTGAGAGAGTGGTGAAGAGTTGGCTCAGAGAGGAGCCGGTTGGTAATCTCATCCCGGCTAGGTGAAGAGAGGTGAAATGTGGACAGCGTCTCAGCACGGATGTGACGAAGCTCAGATCTGTCTGGAGCTCCGCCACTTTGATGTCCAGCTTCTCCAGGGGCAGCAGCTCAGCTGAGGGGTAAGTAGGTGGATAATTATACCCTACACTGCTGTAGTATTAGCAGTATTTGTATTTAAAACTATGTGTGATTCTGCTGTACCGATCCATTTTGAACAAACTCTAAAAAGGAGCAGTTTAGGTCTACATTAACATGACATTATTTAGATGTCGCTTTTATCCAAATACAATAAGAGAATTCAACTTCCTGTTCTCGAATGTAGGACAGACAGATACTCGCAAACGGCTACCAAGAAAACCTCAACGCCCACCTTTCAAAAATATTGCTTCCAACAAACCCTGCGACATTCCCTGAATGCACCTCCGTTGAGAAATGCTTCACTACAGAATTAGTAGCTTAAATCTGGACTGGTTCATCTCTTGTTTTTCCAAACAACATGACACTTTCAATCCTGCACACATGAAGTGTAACTTCCCTTTGAGTAGAAGCTTTTCACAGCACCTGACATGTCTGACTCTGCAGTCCTGGGACGATGCGGTAAGAGGCGCGGCCCCCACATCAAAGTCTGGATCTCCGCGTGCAGGGACATCAGGTTGGGGCTCGCGTCCAGCAGGACCTTCACAAGCCGGGTGCACGGCAGGACGCTGACGCTCAGATCGGCAAGAGAGCTGCGGGAGCTCTCCGACAGCTGCTTCAGGGCTCTGGCCAGCGACAACACATCAGAGTCCCTGAAGGTCACTGCACAAACGAGTTACAACTGATTATTCCTGCACCCCCACAACAAAAATGTGCCGTCTACCCTCGCTTTTAGGTTTGTCAACTGATTAAATGGTTTCAATTCAGCAATGCTGTCTACAGATCCCATGGATTTAATTCACCCCCTTTAAATGTTACTGCAGTTTAAAGGGAGAGTATGTGGTAGTTATCGGATGTAGATTTCAGCATGCAGAAAATATTCCATCCAAGTACTATACATACAGTGGATATAAAAAGTCTCACACCCCTGTTAAAATGCCAGGTTTTTGTGAGAAATGAGACCAAGATAAATCATGTCGGAACCTTTTCCACCATTAATGTGACCTACAACGTGAACAATTCAATTGAAAAACAAACTGAAATCTTGTGGCTGTGTTCAGAATTAACCAATCACATTCAAACTCATGTTAAATAGTAGTCGGTACACACATGCCATCATTTAAAGTGACTGATTAATCCCAAATAAAGTTCAGCTGTTGCATCTTACAGCAAAAGCCATGGTCAGCAGAGAGCTTCCAAAGCATCAGAGGGATCTCATTGTTGAAAGGTATCAGTCAGGAGAAGGGTACAAAAGAGTTTCCAAGGCATTAGATATACCATGAAACACAGTGAAGACAGTCATCATCAAGTGGAGAAAATGTGGCACAACAGTGACATTACCAAGAACTGGACGTCCTTCCAAAATTGATGAAAAGATGAGAAGAAAACTGGTTAGGGAGGCTTCCAAGAGGCCTACAGCAACATTAAAGGATCTGCAAGAGTTTCAGGCAAGTACTGGCATTTGTGGACATGTGACAACAATCTCCCGTATTCTTCATATGTTTGGGCTATGGGGTAGGGTGGCAAGACGGAAGCCTTTTCTTGCGAAGAAAAACATCCAAGCCTGGCTAAATTTTGCAAAAACATACATGAAGTCTCCCAAAAGCATGTGGGAAAATATGTTATGGTCTGATGAAACCAAGGTTGAACTTTTTGGCCATAATTCCAAAAGGTATGTTTGGCGCAAAAACAACACTGCACATCACCCAAAGAACACCATACCCACAGTGATGCATGGTGGTGGCAGCATCATGCTTTGGGGCTGTTTTTCTTCAGCTGGAACCGGGGCCTTAGTCAAGGTGGAGGGAATTATGAACAGTTCCAAATACCAGTCAATTTTGGCACAAAACCTTCAGGCTTCCATTAGAAGGCTGAAGATGAATTTCACCTTTCAGCATGACAACGACCCAAAGCATACATCCAAATCAACAAAAGCATGGCTTCACCAGAAGAAGATTAAAGTTTTGGAATGGCCTAGCCAGAGCCCAGACCTGAATCCAATTGAACATCTGTCGGGTGATCTGAAGAGAGCTGTGCATAGGAGATACCCTCGCAATCTGACAGATTTGGAGCGCTTCTGCAAAGAAGAGTGGGCAAATACTGCCAAGTCAAGAAGTGCCATGCTAATAGACTCCTACCCCAAAAGACTGAGTGATGTCATCAAATCAAAAGGTGCTTCAACAAAGTATTAGTTTAAGGGTGTGCATATTTATGCAACCAGCTTATTGTAAGTTTTTTATTTTTCAATTTGTTTTTCAATTGAATTGTTCACGTTATAGGTCACATTAATGGTGGAAAAAGTTCTGACATGATTTATCTTGGTCTCATTTCTCACAAAAACCTGGCATTTTAACAGGAGTGTGTAGACTTTTTATATCCACTGTATGTAGCCTAAATGTTAATGGGATATTCAGGACTTAGTTCAGTCTCCTACAGAGTATTTGAATTAGTGTTCAAAGTACTTATGAACACGCGAGAGTCGAGGGGTTTTTCTCTCACACAACAGAGAGCAGCACATTCTCTACAGCAAAATGTAAAGGAAATCTGAATTCTATTATCAAACACAAATAAAGTGCAATGGTAATACAAATTCTACATGGACAATGCTCAGTTGTATTGTTGAAAGGTTCAGTTTCACAGCCCATAGAGGTATCTGTCCATGGAGATAGTTGTAGTTTTGTTTGTCCAGGTTTTTGAGACACAGTTCTCTAAAGAATTCTGCCTTCACCCAAATACAATGGAGCTGAATGAGTTACGTTTGTGTCAACAAATTGTTTGTAAATGTATCAATGTCGTGGGCACAACAGGTACATTTCCAGTGACTTGCATTGTATCGGACTGGAGAAATTTCAATTGGAATTTGGTCAAATTTATCTTAAAAACAACTGACTTTGGTTAGTGTCAGAGACTTCAGCCCACTATTAACAAGAAAATTACGCATACGTTTATGAATATCAAAATATTTCTTGACCTGCTGGTTCACACCAGCAGGTCAAGAGTTAGTTAATATCGACAGGAAGTTGTGCAGAAATGCGCCAAACAAAGGCAGCGAGGAAGAAGACTGCGATCTAGCTTTGCAAATGTGTTAAGAGGAAGGAAAAGGTATTCATCACCTTTGTTGTCACCAGTGCTGGAGGAAATTCATAGACCTCAATGTGTCAATGCTGCTGATAGCGTGGAAGCACAGATACATGGTGCAAAGACCGGGATGCCCCCTGAACCCCCTCTCCCCTAAATACACAAGTTAAAAACTTACAAAAGCTGTGAAGAGTTAGAGAGCGAAGGCAGAAGAATGTGGGCAGGGCAGAGTTCAGCACTCTGAGGGAGTCAGACCCACACTGCCTGATGTCCAGACAATCAATCCGTCCCCATGGACAAGCCCCCGCCGAGGGACCGTCACACGGACTGAAGGTTTTACAGAGAGCCTGCGGGTCCAATGTAAAGTTCGCTTTCCTAGATTGCTCCGCAGAGTCCAATTTGGAGCGTTTGCAGGGAGTGACTTGATCCTCTGAAGCGCTGGTCCCAAGACCTGAACCGCAACTAGGCCCGTCTGCGCTGGCTGAAGCGGCTTGTGAAATACAGCTCGCCTTTTTGCTGTTCAGTAGGTCCTTGAAGTCGGGATTTACATACTGAGATCCCCTGCCATGTAGGATCCAGGCCAGCACTATGGGACATTGCACATGTACCACGACTTTTTTGGCCACCCCGTGGTCCAGCAAGCGATGGAGGACGTACAACGCAGATTGCGTCCTCCTCTTTGATATATCAATGCTCTGCGATACACCAACGCTCCAGATACGCTTCTCTAGGAGGTTCAGGAGAGGCCGTCGCTCGGCGGTTAAACTCTCAACTGGCGTAGTGAGCAGAAAATGTTTGATGCATTTAGCTGCCGCCCACAGGAAGGACGGGGTGTTCAAGTTTGTGATGTTCCTTTTGACGAAAGGGTTCGTGAAGCCGTAGAATACGAGAGTAAAAAGCATCCTCATTACTTCGTGTTTGGCCTCTTCTTCTGTGTCAAAGTCTGTGACCTGAAATGAAACACAGGGTACATATTACATCTGGGTTCTGGATGTTACTTCAGTATATGAGATATTGGTCATTATAAAAAGGAGACATTGCACCTACATGGTTAGGTCCACACATGTCCTGTAGGACTCCAATCCACCCAGAGTGAGTGGACACCCCTGAGACAAAGCAAACGAAAAAATGACAAATTTAATCATGAGTTTAAAAAAAGTGCCATCTCTGTGAGCAAAAAAAAAAAAAGATAGAGGAAACTTCAGTTTTTACCTCTCTGGTTGAGGGCAGGCTGGAGCTCATCCAGCTGACACACTGTCAGATAAGGAAGAAGATCCTTAATGAGAGGCGTTGGAAGACCTAGGTGAGGACAGATTGGTAAACTTTAGGACGTTCCAACAGTGGACACCAAATCCATCACCACACGTGACTAGCAAAAGCTGAGCAAAAGAAAAAAATCACTATGAAAGTGCATTGGAAGTGACAATAATCAATATAAGACACCAGTCAGTGGTCTGTGACTGTTAAAATGTGGCACTGATGTAGCGTTACCGTTATATTTCTGTGTAACACTACATAGATATCAATGGAAAATTACAAGTCCTTGTAACGCTATGTGTAACGGTAAATTACTTCACCAATAAAGCTTAGTCTGATCATTTTTTAGATTTTAGGAGAAACCTTCTAAATGGCAATTATTGTATAATAATATGGCCACAACTGGCTAGATTCTCAATAGAGTTCAGTGTAGCTGGCTATCTCCATTTGCAGGATATGTAACGTTAGCTAACGTTGTGACATGCTAGCTTCTACGACAATAACGCTAACAGTTATTGTACCGTAAACAACCCGCTCTGTGTGCGTTAGTCCTTCGTGTACCGCGAGGCTAAGTAAAGTCAACGTTACGGGAACACGGCTAACGTGAACTTACCGAGAACAGCCTCAGTGCCCACAGCAGCGAAATGTTTCCTGACAGCTTGGAAACATATCTTCTTCAGACACAACGTTAGCTCCTTTGGATTGTTTGCCATGTTGTGCATCGTTGTGTTATCATTCGCTAACGTCATTAATTACGCCGCTAACAGTAAACGTTAAGCAACTGACACCGCGCCGGTGACGGCTCACGTCTGTCAATGTCAGGTCATGTTTATGGTCGGTCTTCTCCTCTTCCCTGGTGTAACGTTAGTGGTTCCATAGCGGTTGCCAGGCGCATTACCTCATTACCGCCAGCAGCTGGGGTTCTTCTTCTTCTTTAGTTTTAATGGCGGGCTACAAACCAGGGTGAAAGGTAAACGGCGCCATCTACTGTACCCCAGTGTATAGCATCCCAACTGAATGAAGGGTTAACATTCTGAATGTTAAACCTGGTTCCTGTAAATACTGAAATAAAGCCTCTCCTACCTGTAAATGTTTGTCACATATCTCGTTCTCTCCTCTCTCCACTGCTTTTGTCATCGTTTCAATCTTTGCTTCACGACAGTTGATTATTTATGTCTTACTCAAATGTAAGAATGTCCGGATTCGATCCCCGATCCCGGGTGGTCCTTCTGTGTGGAGTTTGCACGTTCTCCCCGTAGCAGCGTGGGTTCCCTCCGGGTTCTCCGGCTTCCTCCCACAGTCCAAAGACATGCAGTTATTTAGAGTCTCAAAATTGCCCGTAGGTGTGAATGTTTGTCTGTCGGCACATATAGAGCCCTGCGATAACCTGGCGACCTGTCCAGGGTGTACCCTGCCTTGCTCAATGTCAGCTGGGATCGGCTCCAGCGCCCCGCGACCCTCAATAGGATAAGCGGTTTGGATAATGGAATGGAATGCCATCTTTATCAAATATTGCGCCTCATGTGATTTGAAAATTGATGGAGGACTCAGCTTTTATGGTGAATATATAACACACTGAGGACTTCATTGGAGTACAATTCAAAAGGTGCCAAATTCTCACTTTAAATTGTTCTCCATTTTTTACAGAACTATTTACGAGTGCAACACTATTAAAGCATTACAGGAGAGACTGTGTGCAATTATTAGGATTATTAGGTACTATGCTCCACCTACTGGGTAGGCTACTATGCTTGTGTTCATACCAATAGACAATACATTTGAGCCACCAGTTTGGCTGTCACAGTGAAATGCATTTCTTTTAATGAGTGCACTGGACTTAAAAAATATTGTTGGCCATCTACACATACTGTTACTGCCAATGAGACACAGAGGGAGCTGGGACCTAACATTTCAAGTGTTTATTCAGACACCGACGTTGGTAATTGCTAAACGCAGCTGCACCTATGTAGCACTTCTCTACCATGATGGACAAAGCGCTTTACAATTTTTCCTCTCGCACACACACTCAAGCAGTGTTTTGCTTAAGGGCACTTTGACATGTGGACAGAGGAGGCAGGGTCTACCGCCTCTGCGTCAGTTGCCACTCATCAATTAAGTTAGAACTGTTTTACAGTATTTGTATTGTTGAATGATCTGTGTTGGATAAGCTTGTGCAGTAGCAATGAAAAATGGGAAAAAAAGAAAAAACATTTACATCAGATTTTACAATTCATATGTCAGAATTTGACCTACCAAGGGACTACAGATGCAAATTAGCTTAAAGCTACAATGTGGTATGGCGCATCAAATGGTGACATTTATGTTTTAAACTGTTCATGGTCCCTTTTAATTATTTTTTCTTCTAATAAGTGAGGACGAAGAGCTGGCATGTGTGCTTCTTCCTTACATTGGCACCACCAGTCGCCATTATGGATATTTGTGTGCGTTGTGCGTTCCAAATGTGCAAGATGGAATGTACATATCTGGCTAACCGGCTGCTTTCAGAAGGCTGTAGGGAAACTAAACTGCACCACAGTTTGACTGGCCAAAAACCGGCAAATCAATCACCAGTGTCGACGCATTGTGCCCAGATTCCTGTAAGAGCAGGTATTTCTGAGAAGTTACTGCATTCATGATGGATAGAACACCAATCATTCTCCTTTACTTTTAATTAAAAACAACAACAACTGTATAACAAATAAATATCAGGACATACAGTGAATGTGGTTATGTGATAGAGAGTCTGTTGAGTTCCTCCCGCTATACTACGCCCTTCTGGTCCTCGTGAGAGCACTGGTGGAAGACGAAGGAGACGGCAGCGTCCCAGGAGGCTTTCAACACTTGGTCCCTCAGACCCTTCTTGTCGAAGCAGTGGTTCCACTGGGAGAGGTCGCTGGTACAGTCGGAGTCGTCTGCGGGAGGCCAGACCTCCCTGCCGTTCACACAGCGGCGACAGCGGAACCTGACATCACCGTGAGGAAGAGGAGAGGCCCGGTTCAATATATTACATACATTTATGATCATAGACTTGGTAATTATTTATCATAAAATGAAAACCACCGGGGGCCAGATGTATGAATCCGTAAAAGGATGTTTGATGAGAGCCATGATATGATAAGGTGGAGATGTAATATAAAGTGAGAGCCATAAAAACCGTAGACTGTATATAAGAAGTGGACGTAGTCATCGTGACGTCACCTAATGGTTTGTGGACTGACGTTACGAAGCCTTGATTTCTGCAATTTCACCGTCGCCATGTTGTTTTTTTTCCGCAACCAATGAACAGAAGTTACCATATTTGGAATGCGGAGGAGTGACGTAGAGACGGCGTATACGGCTGTGGTAGTGGCAGCGACCTGTCAATCACACTAAAGCATACCCTGCTTTATGGTCTGTTTGACTCTAAATGGACCACAATTTACTAAATGAACATCATGCTGTATTGAAGAATACTTGAAATTAGAGATTGAGACCATAAACTCATGTTTACAGTGTTTACTGAGGTAATAAATCAAGAGAGAAGTAGAGTCATTTTCTCATAGACTTCTATACAATCTGACTTCTTTTTGCAACCAGAGGAGTAGCCCCCTGCTGGTCAGTAGCGAGAATGCAAGTTTTAAGACACTTCAGGATCGGCTTCACTCGGCAGAACCGGAGGTTGCCACCTGGTAATTTATTTAGCCTTTATTTTACCTATTAACTAAATGGTAAATGGACTGTACTTGTAAAGCGCTTTTCTAGTCTTCCGACCACTCAAAGCGCTTTCACACTATAGATCATCATTGACACCCATTCATACACTGATGGCAGAAGCTACCATGCAAGGTGCCACCTGCCCATCAGGACTCTAACTAACATTCATACACCGTAGGCACAGCTACGGGAGAAATTTGGGGTTAAGTGTGTTGCCCAAGGACACATCGACATGGACTAGGGGAGCATCGAATCCTCTGATTGAAGGACGACCCTGCTCTACCCCTGAGCCACAGTCGCCTAGACTAGAAAGACTTGTTGTAAATTGCTCATTTCAGCCGGACGATTGCCACCTCTTAATGAGGCGGGATAAGATTTCATTAGTAGCATAATCAGCATCCCTCAAATCTCCACATAAGGCTTCATGTTCCACTACGTTTGTGGCCAAATTTTATCCATGAAAATGGTGAAAAAGAGGTTAAAAGAAATATATCTTTCACACTGTGAAGTTCAAGTCCGGTTGTCAGAAATCAGCAGACAAAAACATATTTAGCCGTGTCTGTATAGTCGTATTAGAGGATCACTTTGTTGTTTGGAATATTTTCTGAAGAATTAGAAAAGATGAATAGCACAGCTGCTAATGCAATGTCATCAGAACAGTGCTATACTGTGACAGACAGTACCATAGTGATTTATAAGTTTGAGATTCATAAAACAAAACCGAGCATATGCATGGCTATAAATCTGATGAAAACAATGAGTATTTTGGACTTTGTCAATACACACAGTTTGAGACGTGAATCTACAGAGTCAGTTCATGTAACCCCTGGTATGCGACTTTGAAAATACAAGAGCCAGTCAGGGTCTTCCAGCAATGATATCAACCAGTCTGTTAAATGATATAGGATTTCAGCACAGATTTTATGCGTCCCCAAAAATTAGTTTCACACACTTGTAACAAGCCGAGCATGAAATTAAATATATAAAAAGTTTGTGCTGTATCAGTCATGTACCGGTCATGCGTGTCGCTGGTGGTCTCCTCGTTGAGGGTGAAGAGTTCTCGGAGTTCGCCCAGAGAGAAGTGACGCTCCACATCCTGCTCCTCGTCCACCACGCAGCTGCTCAGGGCTTTCTTGTGGGCCTGCCTCTGGAGGATCTTCTCCTCGATCGTCCCGGTCTGTCGGCACACAAACACACGGGTCAAAACGGGGAAACTTTGCACACCCGGCTGCTCGGACACATCCATTATAAGGTCCTGAACTGTGTTGAATAGTTAAATCAGTAGAAATTTTTATTTATTTATACATGTGAAAATATTAGTGTATTCCTTAAAACAGACATTAAGCATACAATGTGTAATACCTGGCCACATACTCCAAACAAATAGACTACTGGGTCCATACAATCTACATTTAAAGTAATCAGTCAAGTAAAAAAAAAAAAAAGAAGCCAACTACTGACTAACAGCTGAAACTCTGATAGACGGTAATAAACACTTAATGTTAATGTGTGCCATCAGCCTATAGTTTACGTTAGCCATCTATACGTTTACTGTGCCACTAACCAGGTGGCTATACATGTCGGTGTACAATTTTTTATTGGATTAAATCCAAAGTGGTAGAAATTAGAAACAACTTGTATTTCCCTTTTGTCCTTCCCGCCGCCAGGAGACTACTACGGGAGCAGAACGTGGGTAGCTCCGATCCCGGGGTCCCCAGGCTAGCTGGTTAGCATGCTAATTTCAGTAGATATCTCTGCAGCACAAAACATAGGTATCTTTGACATGACGTCAACACTGTCGCCTCTTCACGTTCTGGCCAGATCTTACACATTGCACCTTTAAGAAGTGTTGACGATCTGTTTTTATGTCATGTGTGCATCTTTTGTGCTGTGTTGAACTGACAGAGAGCAGTCTGTAGATGTAGCAGGTCTTCTTCTGGCCATCTCTCCACACCCGTGCCATCGCCTGCTCGTCATTGGCCGGGTTCCAGTCCGGATCAAACATGATTAGGCGATTAGCACCAATCAGATTCAAGCCACATCCACCAGCCTTGCTGCTGAGCATGAAGATGAACTCTGGATTCTGAGAAAACAGATGGAGTCAGACGATGTTCAGCTGTTTTTTATTTCTTTTTTAAAGCTCAATGTGGTTTGAAACAGAGTTTACCGACTCACCGATGGACTGTTGAATCTTTCTACAATCTTGGCCCTTTTCTTGATTGACATT